ATCCAGGGGCAGGACCTTGCACTTGGCCGTGTTGAACTCCACGAGGTTCGCACAGGGTCTCCACTCAGACGTCGAGCTGTTGACCGTGACTCTTTGGGTGCGACCGTCCAGCCAATTCCAGTCTTGTGTTTGCAGGAGAACGATCTTGCAGCCAAGACGTTAGCATCTCTAGAAGACTGGATTCAGTATTTTTAAACCCAGCTACATGTATGAACGGGGCCCACACTTAAATTCTGCCCATGCTCCTCTTTTCATGGAAAACGAATCTTTTACCAGTGTGCCTGGAAGAAACATGAGACGCTTTATTAGCCACAGTGATATCAGGCACTTCCCAGTGCCCTTCAAAGGGATCTCACCGAGTCTTTGTGCTCCCACGGTGATGCTGCCCTTCCGCCTGTGTAGGTGACTCATGTGCATTGTCCCTGCTCGGCGAGGCGGCTGGAGCTTTGTTCCAGCCCTGCAGCTCCTCACACCCCTGCGGGTGATGCTGCCCTTCCGTCTGTGTAGGTGACTCATGTGCATTGTCTCTGCTCGGCGAGGCGGCTGGAGCTGTGTTCCAGCCCTGCAGCTCCTCACACCCCTGCGTGAGGAGTTCAGGGGTCCTTCCATATGGCTACAATACTCCTGCCCATCCCTCTTACCTTTGTGGCATCAGGATAAAACCCACCTCAGAATCACACAGAATGGTAGGAGTTGGAAGGGACCTCTGGAGATCATCTGGTCCAACCCCCCATCTCTGTCCGTGGCGTGTGTGTGAGTCAACTGGCTCCTTCATCACAACCGTTTTGCCTTTCTAGTTCCCGTTTTGTTATCCTCTCCTGTGAACATACAGTAAACCAAAAGACACAAAACAGAAGAGGCTGTGGTTGACCGAGACCTTATCCCCACAACAGTCGTGCGTCCAAAGCGTAGACCTGAGTCTGGGGATTAAACCCCGTCCTTCAGCTGAGCATAAATAATGAGGCGCAGAAGGTGGGAACGACGGGGCTGCTGACTGCTTGATCCACCTGTCCTGCAGGATGCCCTAGAGCAGAAGAGTGTTTCCATCCCTCTGTGCTCCCTCCCGCCCCAAAATCCCAGCAGGCAGACCGTGGGACTGGCACCAGCTCTGCAGCACGCCGAGGGTGCCGTAGATCGGACGGGAATCCGTCGCTGACGGATACGTGGGCACCGGGAACGCGATGTATCTTCTGAGGCTGTTGGTCTTGAGATGCGGTGTCAAATCCTTGGAGCTGTGATCTAGAGAGGGTGGAAATCTCAGTGATCTTTTTTTTTTTTTTATTCCTATCCTTCTCATTTTTTTCTCTTTATTTTGATGGAATGAGGTGTCCCTGTCCCCACCATCCCCACTGCCAAATTTTGTCAAAGCCACGTGAGATTAGGACAAGTTTCATTCTTACAGTTCAGATGGGTGGACTGTGGCGTATTGCATCTGGTCATGGTCCCAGTAGACAAGCAAGCACAGAAGCTAGGACAAATTTGACCTTCCGGCCTGGCGTTGATGCTGGTGAGATGACTACCAGAGAAAAGATTGCCTGTTCTGTGCCAGGTAGCTGTGGTGTGGGGGAGGAACCCTCCGTGAAGAAGACAGCCTGCTTCCAGAGAAAAGACTTTTTTTTTTTTCATGGTGATAACCTGGTACGGCTTAAAGTTGAAACAAGTCTCGAGCTCTGCAGTTCTCGGTTCCTGGCCGACGTCTAAGTGTCTCCTGCTGTGCAGTCAGAGTCCGTCTGGCAGCGCTCGTGGTGTTCAGCTGCGGCCGCCTTCGGTCTGGTGCCACCAGAGGTTCTCAGCGACACCACGTGGGCTTCCCTGTCGGCGGTGCACTTTGCTCTAACAGCTTTCTCCCAGATCCCTGGGGGATACGTAGCCGAGTGCCTCGTTCACCACTTCGGCTTCGGAGCGGTCTTCCTGGAAGTGGTCATCTTCACCAGGAGAAGTGAAGAAGACTCGTGTTTGGAAGACCTGTGAGTCCAAATACAAACGTGGAGTTGGCAAAGCACCGAGTGCGCTTCTCTGGATGATCTGCTGCACGCGCAGTTTCTTCCCCACGTTTCCGTCGCATGTTGTTCCAGAAGTCTAAATTTTGGGCTCCTTGTCAAGCCTGGCAGTGGCGGTATCTGGCTCTTGCCTGCCAAGATGTTCTATTGCATGAGCCAGAACCTGCCACGGCAAACAGCCAGTGGTTTCTTGCTCTTCCTGCCCATCCAAACTGGAAAAGTTCCGTCAAAATCATCAGCTGGTCTTCCAAATAGGTACAGTCCGTGAAGCTGTGATGTGGAGCAGCGTACCCCGAGATGCAATGCGCCGCTGGCTGGGCTTTGCTAGAGGCAATAATGGGAGAAATGAGGGTGGTGGAACACTGGCCCAGGCTGCCCAGAGGGGTGGTCGATGCCCCATCCCTGGGAACATTCAAGGTCGGGTTGGACGGGGCTGTGAGCAACCTCATCCAGCTGAAGGTGTCCCTGCTGGCTGCAGGGGGTTGGACTAGATGGCCTCTGAAGGTCCCTTCCAACCCAAACCATGCTGTGAAAACATCTTGATGAAGTAATTCTTCTAATTAAGCAGCCCTTCCTTCTTTGTCGTGGCCGTGTCTCTGCTCCGTGGTCGCTGGACAAGGCACACAAGGCAGCCCCTGTCGTGGGGGCCGGCTGCCCGGTGAAGCGTTGCCCCCCGATTTTGAGTTGAGGATACAGCTTTTAGTTCCATGTTCCTTGTGTAGCAGATGCCACCAGTGGCTAGGAAGTGTTAAAAGCTTTCAAATCTTCTTTATCTTGTTGTCTTCAGTCGTGATGGATGGGGGACGTCGTGGATAGGTAAGTTGGGATTCGGGTTCAGTCTGGCCCAGGCATCTAAAACTGGGTCAAGGGAAGTCTGAGCAGAGGTGCAATTAAATCTGCTGTGGTTTTGATCTAAATTCTGTTGGAAATGTAAGGGAATTTCACCTTCCCTGCACTGCTAACCTATTTACTCGTGTGCTAAAAATAGCCTGTAATGTAGGACACTCTTGGGGAGAAACCAGAAGGAAACCGAGTGGAAGGGAGAGCTTTATTTGTGGAAAGCACCGGGATTCTGGCAATAAATTACCACTTTCCTGCTTCTGCTGTAGTTATTTCTGTGGGGCATTTTGACTTTAAAAAAAAAAAAAAATAAATCAAGGAAAATAATATTTTTGGAAAAGATTTTAAGTGTTTCTGGAGTACCAAAATGAAGGGATCCAAGGAAAAAAAAAACCAACACAACAAAAAAGGGATCCAGACCCCAAATCCTTCCTCTTGGTTGTGTTCCACTGGTAGCACCCACCCTTACCAACGGAAAAAGTCAGGTTTTCGGTGCCTTTTGGGTCCTCTCTGCACCCAGAATTGCATCCTCAGGGGTCCGGGCTGCCACCCCGGTGGTCAGGGGGAGCAAACCGCCAAGGACCCCTGGCCTCCGCGGCGGCGGCGGGACGGATCTCACTGCTGGTCGTTAAATTGTTGGGTTTTCTCTTTTTCCTTAGCCTTAAACGGACCACGGACATGATGTTTGGAGGGAAGCAAGTGGTGGTTTGTGGCTACGGGGAGGTAAGGGGTTCGTGTTTTACCTGCGGGTGCTGCCGCCTTTGCCGGGCTTTATCCGACGGGGCTTTGCGTCTGCAGGTACCTTCAGACCTGACGGGTTTGCCAAAACTGGAGATTTCCTTCATTTCCAGTTAATCTTTAGTATTAAGCCGAGACCAAACCTGAATCTTAAAAGACCTGAGTATTAAGCATTCTGAATATCTTTAACGTCTGAATATTGGCGTATCCAGATATGAATATGTGTTAATATGGTCTTTAAATGATCTGTTCTATTTAATCTAATATTAAAATACTCGGAGGGTGGGTTCTGCAGATGCACTGCGCAGCCGCAGCGTGGCACGCTGAAGCGTGGTCAAGAAGGAGGAGTTAATCTTGACTTTACCCCTGTGCTCGCACCCCTGAACGGAGGAATCCTCTCCCGAGGCGAGACTGGGATATTCACCCTTTGGCAGTTCGTGTCGGGACCAGTTAACACCAGTTATGGTGGGCTGGGCTGTGCTTGCTGTACTGGGACTCTTGGGTTTGTTGTTTTTTTTTTTTTCCCTGAGAGCTAAAATGGGACGATGTTCTCACGTGTAATTGCATTTTTGGGGAACGCTCGGGTCGTTGAACCGTTCCCCTGCGTTCCCCTGCGAGCGGCACCGTACGTGCTGTGTGAAGGTTAAAGCTCGTTAACCCTGGGAGATTAAACCATTAAGCTTCCTAAATAGAGTAAAGGTTACAAGAGACTCTCAAACTTTCCCTGAGATAAGTGTAATCTCTCATTATCGTGGTCCTTTCTGGCTACCAGGATGTTTTGGGGGAAAAAGAACTCCCTGGGACCAAAATCAACGGCACTTTTATATTTTTTAGTGCCTCTCTTAGCTAAGCTGGGCCTGACTCAGGCCCCTAGATTACTCCAAATCCAGGAATTGAGTGTATGCAGCCAGAGTGGCCGAGAGGGCTGCAAAGGGCTCTTGGGGCTGCAGGAGAGACGCCCGGAGTCGGACGACCCCGAAACGCTTCCCACGGCCGTGCTGGCGCTCGGTGTCTCCCGAACCCCTCGGCATCTCACTCTTCCTCAGCTCTCCTCTCCCTCCCCAGGTTGGAAAGGGCTGCTGTGCTGCCTTGAAGGCCATGGGCTCCATCGTGTACGTGACAGAGATCGACCCGATCTGTGCCCTCCAGGCCTGGTAAGCCGTCGCGCCGAGCCCGGCTTCTTCTTCGGGCTTTGTTTTTGCCCCCCAGGGAAAACCACGACCAGAGCCTGCTCAGCAGAGCTCCCTCCCGAGAGGGGCGACCGTGAGGGGGTTTGTGGCTTCTCTGCGCCCTCGGAGGGCCCCGCAGCTCTCTCCCATGGCCAGGAAAGTGTTCCTGCACTAAAGCGTCACCCAGCGCATCTGCCTCCCGCGCTTGCCTCCTCGTAGCCGCAGCGGCTGCGAG